TCTAAGTGGCAATTTCTCCCCATCCCTTTCGTTTTCCATTGCTAAGGGAGAAGTTCCAGTCAGCGTCTTTCCCAGAAATGTTACTTTGTGTAACAGACTCCCTGACCGCAAAAATCTTAACGTCTTCAAGTCTTAGCAACCTTTGCCTATCCTATATATCTTCATAATATGCAGTTCCTGATTCCTCTTTTTTCTCCTTTACAACAACCTCATTCAATAACTCCACCTTGAGCGGCTCTTGGGCATTGTATTGGGTGAAAAAAAAGTAAAAAATCCTTCCTTCACGACTCCTCTTTGCAATTGTCTCTCCATTCATTTGGTCAAAGAAGAGTTTAGAATAGGCGCTAAACTAGTTAAACACCGGATAGGTTGCACTTGGGGGTACTTTTTTCCCAGCGCCGTAAGATACGACAAAAGGAAAATGTCGAACTATAAATGCGAATCATGCTGAAAGAATGGTCGGTTCCTTGAATCTCTTAAAGAAAAATACCATCTCCTAGTGCCATGCTCTATCTTGACAAGAGTCAGGTCAGACGATTAAGAATGGAGTACTGCTGCCAATATTTGGGCTGGCGCTGTCCAACCTTGACAGAGTTCAAAATCAATTACGCGACATTGTGTGTGGGTGATTAATTATTTTCCACCCTGCAATACCCCCCTTTTTTTTTTTTTTTTTGAAAGATGAACTTTTGTTAGCCTTTCTATCACTATTAGTGTGGCAAATGTTCAAACGGACTCCATTCCTTACCTCCACCAGTTCAGATCTTCACAGCTGGGATACGTCATGACACGTAGACGGTCCTAATTCACCCTCATTCCCTTTGATGAAAAGTTCCACTCAGACAGCTTCTTCCGCCGAAAGATTACTTTGTGGAACAGACTCTTGAGAAATTGTTTCCCTGACCACTACTATCTAACCTCTTTAAGGGCAAATCATCCTCGTCCTCATAATATGAATCCCTTCTTCTTTCCCTCTTCAAGAGTTTCATCCAATAACCCTCTACATTCAGTGGCTTTTTGACCTTGTATTTTTGAACTTGGGTGAACTAATGGAGACCAACTTATACAAAAATGTCTATCATCTATATACAACCGTTTTCTCAGACCATTGGTTAAAAGTGACTTGAAATGAATAAATTCTTGCTTAGACTTAGAAGGCACGGTGGAATAGCGGCTCTGACTGAGGGCTCGGGAAAGCCGAGTTTGAATTCCAGTCGAATCCATTACGTGATAATACTTCTCTTCTTTTCCCTCCAGTAAATAGCATGGTAGGTAAATAGCAGGAGAGCCTAGGAGAAGGACAACTCTGAATTCAGTCACCAATTCAAAGTCCTGCGGAGGGTCGTTTGGGAACATTGTGGCACGTAGTGCACCAGGTCTCTCTGTATTCGGACCTTCAAAAATTGTGGTTGGTTCTGCACAAAGCCTTCAGTACTATAATCAAATCATTTCTGCTGGTGTCTGGCCATCGATTCCTAGGAACTGAGCTGCTTGGCACTTTATACGTCGAATAGCACAGGAGAGTCCTATATATATATATATATATATATATATATATATATATATATATATTTATTTATTTAAAAATATGATTCCAACTCACGACATAAGAAGTCTCATGTTTCAAAACAAGAGCCGAAAAACTTCAATATAATTATTTGAATTAAATTGAGTTAAAAGTAAGCTCTGTTCCATCTTCAAGCATTTTTTTTTTTTTTTGAATAACGTATTTCTGAAATTTACGTGTTTTAATATATATATATATATATATATATATATATATATATATATATATATATATAAATTCATGAATCATTCATACAAAAACAAATATAGAGTTTAATGATTTAAATTAACCTCTATATTTGTTTTTTGTATGAATGATTCATGAATTTATAAATTATAATTGCACCTTTAATTGAAATATATATATATAAATATATATATATATATATATATATATATATATATATAGGTATTAATATAGGTAGTATAGGTATTAAAATAATACATTATATATATATATGTGTGTGTGTGTGTGTGTGTGTGTGTGTGTGTGTGTGTGTGTGTGTGTGGATAAATTAAATAAAGTGTTCAGTTCCAAATTCCATGAAGATTAACTGAATCGACAAGCATCCGAAGAAAGGTTACAACGGCCGAAACATTGTGAGAACAACAAAGATGAGGACAATAGACCGAGTGTAAATAATGACAATTCCTCCCCCAAGAAATTCAAATTAAGAATAACAGTTACTACACTATAATCTATAATAGATTTTTTCAATCATTTCAACCCAAACAAGGCAACGAAGCCTCTATCATCCGATGAGTTACTCAGTTGGAAAGAATATAAGAAAAAACATTATTAACGACCGAGAACAATAAAAGAGCAGGAATTAAAAAGACAGAACATAACGACTGATATTGCATTTATTTTTTTGAAGGTCAAAGTTCACTGGAAAGCAAGAAGCTGGAAGAGAGTACGTGAAAAGAAACTATT